TTTAACAAAGACTTCCTTACCGTATTGTAGTAACCTTTTAATGATATCATTGTTTAACAAAGACTTCTTTACCATATTGTAGCAAGTTTTTGATTATATCATTGTTGACCAGTGTTCCACCCTTTTTGACAGAAATATTTTGTTTTATTTATAAAAATTGTATCCTGATCTAGCAAAATTAGATTAATCGCACATCGCTGTATATCAGTGGTGCTATCACATGGTATTGTTCACAGACCACCTGAATACTCGTCTGTTTTTATTGATTTTTAATTAAATAGTAATAATTTAACAGAAGCTGTTTGTTCTTTACGTATCATGTATTAGATTTTTTTTATTGTTATTGTTACAGTGACACCTCCCCCACCAAGATGCAGCTATTATATAGCTCAAAGAATGGGAAATATAATCAGCAGTGGCTACCCAGTCAGTTACCCTAACAACATGGACTGTACATATACCATCACTAAGCTCAGTGGCGACATCTGCTGGCTTAAAATCACATTTGTAGATTTTTCTTTGCAGACGAGCGACAACTGCACAAGAGATTATTTAGAAATTAGCGTGGGTAATCGCTTTTGTGGCAACGTACAAAAAAATCTCGTTGGTAAGATTTTTATGTATTCACTAAAAAAAAACAGAGTCCAAGATATAAGTTATTACTGAATTTATATTTTATCTTGGTAGAAAGGGACAAAGTTAAGGCTTGCAACTCTGGTTCACCCCAAGGCCCAAATCAAATCTTGGTGGTCTTGGTGATTACCTTTAATTTAGAGTGACCTATAACATCAGAATTATCTAGCAAGTATATATATCCGTTCATTTATAATAACAACTTAAAAATATTATTCGTAAAAAATTCAGAATAAAAAATGTATATTTAAAACTGACAACCACTGATATCTAGGGATTATAATGGTTTATTTAATTCATTATAAACTATAATGGTAGTTTCCATTTTCTTAGAAAGATAAGATGTCGAGACTTTAGTAAGAAACTTGGTACTTGAATCAACACAAGTTGTCCACTTCTACAGTTTTACAATAAACCAGAAAATTTTCTTATACTATTCATTGGTACCTCACAAGTTGTGATCACTTAAAACAACAACAGCGCCATCTATGTGTTATTTCATTTTTAATACATCTCCATGTTTTCATATGTTCTTTTACCGTTGACTCAGGTTATTATTTCTTTATCAGAAATGTATCCTTTTGCTACGGGAGTAAACTATATCAACCTTAAGTTCATCACCGATAACAGCAGCACCAGCCGAGGTTTTAATCTTGCATACCAATTAGTCCGTTGTGATGAATTTCCATCGTCTACAGAGTCACCTCAACAAATAACCACTGCTGAGTACAAATATACTTCATCTGAACCAGAAACAACAACAGTAGAACCGGTCACGGAGTCCGAAACAACCTCAGGTAAAACCAATTTTCTGCACGTTCTTAAAACATCAACCAGAAACAACAACAACAGTAGAACCGGTCACGGAGTCCGAAACAACCTCAGGTGATCACTTTTTTACCGAAAAGTGCAGATTCCTCCGGGACTTCAAATAATCAAACACTATTTTTACTTTTCAAAATGTGGTCAATGGTACAAAATGAAATGACAGGTAGGGGTGAAAAATGTGGGTGGAAGGTGGGATGAACAGTTGTGCCTGTGTGTAATATTTTCTGCTAATATGTCATGCATAGTTTTTTGTTTTATTTAATACCACCTTTTCGGAGGGTGGGATGGGAGACTCGCTTTTTTTTACACTGGTTGGTAAAGTACGTTATCTATATGATGGTGATGGGATACCAATCCTTCAGATTAGTTCGTACGAACTTGATAAGTGGGGTATTAAACAACACTCACGTTTATATACAAGATGTCTTATCATTACCCAGCAATAAAACAAAATCGGTTGGTAAAGTACGTTATCTATATGATGGTGATGGGATACCAATCCTTCAGATTAGTTCGTACAAACTTGATAAGTGGGGTATTAAACAACACTCATGTTTATATACAAGATGTCTTATCATTACCCAGCAATAAAACAAATCGGTTGAAATAGTACGTTATCTATATGATGGTGATGGGATACCAATCCTTCAGATTAGTTCGTACAAACTTGATAAGTGGGGGTATTAAACAACACTCATGTTTATATACAAGATGTCTTATCATTACCCAGCAATAAAACAAATCGGTTGGTAAAGTACGTTATCTATATGATGGTGATGGGATACCAATCCTTCAGATTAGTTCGTACAAACTTGATAAGTGGGGTATTAAACAACACTCATGTTTATATACAAGATGTCTTATCATTACCCTGGAAGTTAACTGTTAAGGTAAGCCGTTTCTGTACAAAGACAGGCAATCTTAAAAACATTTGATTTAATCGTTAAAAGACTGGTGGCGTAATTTGCTCTACACAGACACTCCAGTTACTACGTTTAATACAAATAATTATTCGTACAACATTAGACTCTTTAAAACTAAATTAACACCAATTAAAACAGTACGTGTGTGTTTGTGTATATATATTTCAATTAAATTAATAAGTTAAACTTAATAATTTAAGCAATAGATGGCACTAGCGAGCAAGACTTTATATCACACCTAATATCTAGTAAATATAGGTTAGATTGTTCCTTAGGTTCACTCTTTAGCTAGTACGATTTTACTCATTTGGATATTTATAAGTTAAAGTTGACTGGGATAAGAAACATTTGCCTCTAGTTACCCTATTTTTATCTTAAGTTATAGAGAGCAAAATTATTGTGTTTTTTAGATTTTATGTTTTAAAACGAAACATGAATTATGAATATTTGCTGTGGGGTACACTTATCATCATAAATATTGCTGTGGGGTACACTTATCATAATAAATATTGCTGTGGGGTACACTTATCATAATAAATATTGCTGTGGGGTACACTTATCATAATAAATATTGCTGTGGGGTACACTTATCATAATAAATATTGCTGTGGGGTACACTTATCATAATAAATATTGCTGTGGGGTACACTTATCATAATAAATATTGCTGTGGGGTACACTTATCATAATAAATATATAAATTTAAGTGCTTAGACCTACCTATTCACAACGGTATCCTGGAAACTAACGACAATTTATCAAAAACAATTATTTTTCTGAAATCCAGGACCTTCACTGAGAAAGAAAGGAACAGTTTTTTGGGGGGGGGGGGGGGTCCTACTTCTCTGTTACTGTTACAATTACAGAAGCATGAAGACAGTTTGAGAATATGTTATTTTTAGATGCAAATGGTTTGTATGAAATACAAAAAAAAAAAAGAAAAATCAAATAGACTGCATAGGCTTTGATGGCTGAAAAAATCGTGACTTTTTCAAAGACTTTCGCTAATAAATACTAACCAATAACACTTAGTTATTTTTTTACATCACAGGCCGTGGTAGAATCTCCAAAGATTTGGACATACCAGATGCAGATGAATGAAGAGTTGTATAAACCTAACCTTGTTTAATCCTCCTCAACCAAAGTGATCTGGATCCTGAATAATGCAGATGAATGAAGAGTTGTATAAACCTAACCTTGTTTAATCCTCCTCAACCAAAGTGATCTGGATCCTGAATAAAAATTGTGCTTCAATTTCTGTTTATATTAACACCAAAAAATAATTTCAATCAGTAACAAAGGAATTAGGTTTACCATTGACTTTAAGTTAAATATTTAACAGCATATGAACAAAGCTTTGTAAAACGAAAACAGCGAATATCTAAGAAGTACAAAAAATCTATTTCTGTTTTACAAATAAGTACAGTATTAAAGCCATTAATATAACAAAATTTTATGTTTATACTCATATTCTATTTTCTTTCCCGAATTATTTAATAAATATATATGATAATAAGTATTTATTTTATTTTATTGTTGTCATATTGATAAGACAAAATTAATATTTCTCCAAGCCATATAATTTGTTCAGAATAAATAAAGAAGATGGTTTATCATCTTACTCGGCTTTCCGTGTTTCAGTTTAGAATATAAAACAAATCACCAACAACCACGCAAAATACAGTTAGTGAATAAATCACTTGTGGGGAACACCACCCCTGCCTGGAAAAGTTTTGGTGAAAGTAGGGGGGCACATCTTTAGAAAAGTCTTCTTGAAATAAATCGGTTACCTGGGGCAACTAAAATTTTAAGTTGGCTGACAATTGGAGTAAGAAATGAATGCCCTACATATTTTCTCATGCTTACATTGCTGGTAGAAAAATTGGTAATACAAACAAGTAAGAAATGGTTCAGAATAACTTTACGAACAACCTTACAGGTTTTATGGACTTTTTTTTTTACAGATAAAAAAAATAACTGTTGTTGGCATTGTTAGAAATTAAACAAAAATGTCACTCGTATTGAAGGAAAAGGGGTGTATGGGAAAAAAACGGTTATACTTGGGAGTTGGGGGTGGTAGAAGGTGAGGAATTGCTGCAGCCTCTATCAACTTCACGTATAAAATCATGTGGTCTCTGTTCTGCTTCATAACAGGCTTTAGTCCACGGAAAACTTCATTTTTCAGTTTAAGAAAAATCCATTTAATTTTCAGCTATTTTTTTTTCTTAATGAAATTTAGTTAAAGTGAATTTAGGTAATGCCTGATCTCAGTGTTCACATCTTCATAAATATTATAATATCTGTCTAATAATGTAACGACTGGGTGAGAGATTGTATGTTTTTCAGGCTTGAGCTTGGTTTGTAGCATCGGTTTTCGAGGCAGTTGTACGAGCCTCGATTCAAGTGCCAGTTGCTTTTCACCTGTATCCGATTATTTAAAGAAGTGCCCTTGGAGAATGGACAACAACTGAGGTATGAGTCTATCCACAGGGCTACTTCAAGCCTCGATTCAAGTGCCAGTTGCTTTTCACCTGTATCCG